CCCAGCAGGGGGCGTGCGGGAGGCAGCTGATCAATGACTCTCATCATTGATGTTTCTCTCTCTCTCCCTCCCTTCCTCTCTCTGAAATCAATAAAAATATATTTTAAAAAAATGAAAAAAATATTTATGTTATTTTCAAAGAAACTGAAATGACTTGTGAAATTGTTTCTAATAAAATTTTATGTGAAACACAGGATACAAAGCTATAATATACTGCTCTCCTAACACTCTGATCCTTCAGAGACAGTTTTCTGTTGACTCCTTATTTCTCTGGGTATGTCAGCCACGATGACATACAGGTTTCTCTACACTCCACTCTTATTTCTTTGCACGTCTCAAAATTTTTTTTGGAAACTTGACATTTTAGATAATATATTGTAGCAACTCTAGATTCTTTGTGGTTTTTTCTTTTTTTTTTTTTTGGTGTGCTGTTTGTTTAGTGATTTGCCTGGAGGAATTCTCTGCCGTTTCTTCTCCCCCCACCCCCCCATGGCCACTGATATCGCTGCTGGGCTTGTTTTTAAAAATTCTTTTGTTTCAGCTTAGATTCCAAGGCAACACCCAAGTCAGCATAGCTTAGTGGCCAGCCAGTGATTGGTCAGAAGTTACACCTAAACACCTTGAGGCAGTAAGGCTTCCTGCTACCCTTTGCTGATAAATCTGTTTGGCCTGGGGAGTGCATTCAAAGTTCAGTTTCCAAGTCTGTTCCAGATATGATTCTGTGTTTGGCAGGCTTCATACCCAGCCAGGGGCAAGTACTGTGCTATGGCCCTCTTAGCTCTTAGGTCTCCCCATCGGTGCACACGGCCTTGGCCGTGAGCACGGCCTTCTGGACCCCCAGGGATAAAGTAGGCCGTCTCATTTCCAGGACCTCCTGTTAAATTTCTGGCTGGTCTGCCAGTCTATCAAACACAATCACCATTGAGACCTCAGGCTAGCAGCAATGTGGGCCACGATGACATGCGGGTTTCTCCACACTCCACTCCAAATAAAGGCAAACCCCTGCGATGGCCCTGGTGGAACTTCTGTGTCACAGAGCCCGGGGGAAGGGGAGTTGGGATGGAAACAGCCCCAGGCAAAAACACCAGATTCCCACAGTTCTTAGTATCTAGTACATTTTTTTGAATAAACGCTTCTCAATTTGTATGCCTTCGGTCAATTTTCAGTCTCTACCCTTTTTGACAGGTTTGTTCAGTTTTATCATTGCTTTTTAGGGAGATTTGCTGAGCCCCTTACTTGGCCATTCTGGAAGTCCTGCTCCTTAAACCGTACAAGTTGTACAAATAATTATACAAATTCACCCAACTCCTAGGGAGAGAAGGTGGCACCTTCCTTGAGATGTGAAATCCCCAGTAATGTCACTTTGGCTAAATGTTGACTTCAGCTTGGAAACTGGGCCTGCAGGAGGAAGTCCTATTTTGTGGACCAGAGTGCCCGTCTTAGTGATCCTCTCTACTTGTCTTTTACCTACTCCTCAGCCTGGCTTTTTCAAGAACACTCATGGATCATATATATTCCACGTAAAAAAGAGTTCAGTGGTCAAATGTTTGGTTTACTCTGAGCTAAACAAAATCATGAGTTAATGTCAGGATTTCTCAGAGCCTTTAATATGCTGTTTGTTGAGATGTTCTAAGAAAAAATTCATGTAGTGTTTCTCAAGATCATTGTGACAACTGCCACAGAGCATTTCATGGGATTAATGATTTGCTTTTGGTCTATTTCAGTTGAAATTTTCAGCCTGGATCAGAAATACTGAGATGTTAAGGGGAGAAGTATCTGTTGACAACTATGATAGCTACATGCATCAGCCTCCAGACATGGGAGCAGTGGTAGTGAGAATGAATGGGGGTATTCCTCAGGGAGGTCCATTTTGGCAGACAGTCAAGCTCTCTAATACAGCTGCCCCTCCTCACCAGGAGCATTTCATTGGTGACCTTCCAAGTTTCTGGGTTCTATTTTTATTAAGGAGGACTTACCATGTGCCAGACATTAAGTCAGACTCTTGGAAAATCAAGATAAAAAGACACAGTACCTGCCCTCAAAGAGTACAGTTAAAGGTGGGACAGAGAAGACAATTAAGGAGTGGGGATCTAGGTATCCATGAGGTGCTATGGTAAGACCAAGGACAGTTAATCTGGCCCAAAGTGTTAAAGACAACTTGACAGAGGCCATGATGCCCAGGCTGGCTCTTGAAGGCCAAGAAAGGCTTAGCCAGGAAAGGGAGAGGGGAAGAGCATGTGCAAAGGCAGGGAGGCTGGAGAAAATGTGGTGTATTCAGGGAACTCCAAGTAGTTTGCATTGCTAGAACATGGGGTATAAAAGAGACCAAACAGGTAACAAAGGGAGTAAAATATGAAGGACCTTGTGGCACGTGAGGGAGCTTGGATCTTAAGTCTCAAGATGAAGGGTAAAGATTATTGAAGGCTGTTGGGTCTCAGGATCAGAATTACATTTTGAAAGCTCCCTCTGGCAGCAGTGTAGAAAATGGATTGCAGGGGTAGATCAGAAAGAAAGCTCCCAGAGGCCAGCAAGAATGACAAGGGCCTGAATGAGGGAAGGATGAGGAGAGGGGAGGACAGGTAAGAGTTTAAACTGATAGGGCTGGATGAACCAAGGTGTTGGGGTTAAGGGGGAGAGAGGCATTAATAGACAATTGCCAGGGTTTCAACTTGAACAGTCCCAGGCAATGGCAGAACCACATCGTAACACAGGAAATGCAGGACAAGGGGCAGGGTTTTTGGAAGGAGATAATGTATTCAGGTTTGCACTTGTTCAGTTTAAAATTCTGATAAAACATGTGAGAACTGTTTGATGGTTGGAACTCTGAGTTGAGAAATGGAGATATGACAAGTAGCCGAATAGAAGTTGTAGGTGAAGCCACAGGTGTGGATGAGACTGGGCAGGAAGAGAGCATACGGAGAAAGCAGCACAGACAGAAGCCCTGGGGAACCATTATTAACATCTCCCTCTTCCAAATGCCTATAGCGTCTGTCTGGAACTCACCTGGAATTTGTCGCATGCTGCAATAAACATTTAGAACTCAGTGCCTATTGTGTAAAAAATGTGTCATAATAGCCCTGGCTGGTTTGGCTGAGTGGCTAGAGTCAGCCTGCGGACTGAAGGGTCCCAGGTTCGATTCCAGCCAAGGGCATGTACCTCAGTTGCAGGATCAATTCTCAGTCCCAGTAGGGGAGGGGGTGCAGGACGCAACCAATCGATGCCTCTCTCACATTGATGTTTCTCTCCCTCTCTCTCTCCCTAAAAAGCAATAGAAAAATATCCTCTGGTGAGGATTTAAAAATAAAACCAAAAAAAAAAAGTGTCATGACAGATACTAGGGTACAAAGGAATAAAAGAAGGTCCTTTCATCCAGAGAGACTATGATCTGGTTGTGGAAAATGAATTATACCCAGCTATTATGCAAAATGAAATAAGAACTACAAATGTATTGAGTGTAAAAGAGGCAAGTAATTCAATGGGAGAGAACAGGCTGCAGGAGGGGAAGAGAGCATTTGAGTTGGGCTTTGAAAAACAGTGTATTTTGCAAGCAGGGAAGGGGGGAAAGCAAGTAATTTGAGGCTGGAAATTAACAAAGATCACAACAGAATGGAGTGTAGGAAGTGTCAGAGGGGGAGACTGGAAAGGTAGCTTGAGGCCAGGGTCCAGGAAATCCTGCGGAGGTGTCTCAGGAGTCCATTTTAAAGGAGGCACACAAGGGCCTATGTAAATCCAAGAGCTTTCGGTGTAGCAGATTCATTCCTGCCTACTTCCTATTTTTAGAAATGCCTTTAAGAACAATGAATCCAAAATGCTAAAGGAAATCTAAAAATTACCAAACTAAGGCTTGAGGCTTGCAAATGCTTTCTCTCAAGTCTATATTTCCATTCTGCCAAACTCTGTGTTAGTGGGACTTTAATTACTTGGCTTCACTGTAAAATTTCCATAGCACTTAAGTGTAAATAATGTCATTCTGATGCTCTCATGTGAATCTGTGGCTGAGAGCAGCAGAAATCACGTTTGTGTGGCATTTCCTTGGCACGCTGAAGGAAAATAAAACGGATACCACTAATCGAGTCATGAGGGACTTTGAAAGTGATGGGTTATATAAAGGTAGTAAATAATAAGAGATAAAGAAGTATATTTTAAAGATGAAAAATATTTTATTTAAACTTTTCTTCATAAACACTTTTAACATTTTTTTCAATTTAAAAACAGAATGGATAGCATAAACATGTTTGAGTAGATTATATTCACGGCTTGGGAAAAATTACCTGACAAAAATGTAAAGGCTTTCAAAACAGATATAAAAGGCAAACCTTAAATTATTCTAAGATTTTTAAATCGGC